AGTCCAGATATTGACGTTCAAATGACTTGTGGTTTACTTTGTGGCCTTTGAGATGCTTTATCAGAATTATGGTCTTCTGGGTTCACTGGATGTAAGGAAACTGCTGCTTCACAGGCTGAAACATTAGGAATATCCACAAAGTTCAAAGAGAGAAGATTTCAATGGTGAAAGCAATTCCATATGAAAGGTCATCAGATCCCAAACAAGTTCTTTAATGTGAGTTTTCATTCCCTCCTCTTAGCCACACTGTAACACAGGTGGGCAATAGGATGCATCATTAGGATGAAGTTGGAGAAAAGTTTGTTTTTTTGATGGGAGAGAAACTGAAAAGTCTCAGCAGCGAAGACCTTAGGGTACATTTATGCAGTAAGGAGCAACCCGCATCAGTGAGTCTCAAAGCCCAGGTCTACACACTTGGGCTTGTGCTACAGTTCTAAAAACAGCTGGGGACATGTTTGGGATTGGGCTGGAGCTCAGGCTCTGAAACCTAGGAAGGGGAGGTAGGCTTAAGCCCAAACATCCACACAGCTATTTTTAGCAGCATATCATAAGCCTGAGTTTATATACCCTGGCTCTAATACTTGCTGCTGTGGGCTTCTGCTCCCTGTGTAGGCTTCTCCAAAGAGGCAGGCTTGAAACCTAGCAACCAGCTACTCTGAGCCTTTTAAGAGCAAAGCTGCTTTCTTTGCCAGTTTTTTGCACGTGCGTTTTTAAGGATGACTTGGAAGTGAAGGAGCCAGTTGAGCTCCTGAGCTTTGTTCAGAAAAGGTCTTTATATGCGAGTTTCCCTCACACAGACCCAGCACTGCCTATTTTTTTGGTGTCTTTCAGTGTCTGTGTCTGCTAATGAAAGGAGTTTTGCAAGAAAACTAAAATTAACCCAGACCTATCTAAGAAAGTCCATAGGGCAGGAAAAGCCATGTCATCTGGTCTGTTTGTCGTTGTGTTTGTGGGGTTGTTATTTTGTTTGTTTTTTTGTTTTGGTTTGGTTTTTTTTGAGAGAGAGTGAGAACTGGAAAGCAAGGTTGATAGCACTGGGTTCAGCTGATTAATGAGTGCTTCAGAGAAGGCTCCCTTTGTACAAGTACTTAGCAAGGACTGCACTTTTGTTGTTTTTTTGTTTTTCACAGTGGAGAGCAGATTTGAGTCTTCAAACCAGGCCTGGAATATATTGCCATGGCACTGCTTACAGGCGCCCTAATTTTATTTTTAGCTGTTTTAGGCTTCCTTATTTCATTCCTTTGCTCTTTTGGGAGAGAGTATGCGAGGTGCCCTCATGGACAACACATACAAGGGACAGTGATTTCAATACTAGCACCATTTCTGATCATGTTTATATATTTTTCTTTTGATTTATTTAAAGTGCAGTAGCAGTAATGGACATTTCCAAATGGGAAGAGGAGCCCTTATATGTTATGATCTTCTCATTGGCTACCAGAATTGGTGAGAGAACAGAGCTTCTGATAAGCACCTGCTCTGTGGAGCCATCTCTTTCATCTGTAGAGTGCTGTCTCTGAACAGCTTGCCTAAAATCCAGTTTTAGGTTTCCGATACAGATCATTATTGGAAAGAAGGACTCAGTCAAAATGTCCCACTTTACCTTTTTTCATATTTTTCAGTGTGCCATCAGGATAAATCCTTTATTCCACAAATATTCTTAAGAATCTATCCTTTGCTTCCCATTGTGTTCAATGATCTCTATCTAGTTCTGACACTAGAGAGATCTATTGTATTTTGTTAATGTACTTTATAAATAGATTTTCTCATTCCTACTTCTTCTTTTTTTCTATCAAGATGCAGGCATTTTTTCCTCAGAGGAAATATTGCATAAAAGGGTTTATGGTCCAGAAAATGTGGAAATACAGAGACAAGGCACATAATGTTAAGAATTTGATGATAAAAAGATATTAAAAACCACATATTCTTCAATATAAGCTTTGTCTATAGGAGGCCTGAATGTGCAAAGAATGAAGCATCCTCCTCATAATAAAGCTTTTCTTCTGTGCTTACATCAGTTGATCTTTCAGTCCTAGTGTACATGAGATAAAGTAGGAACTGCAACTTTCTGGGAGGTTTGTAAAATAGGTGTGTTGATTCCTAAGCAACTGTATATGGTATTTATCCAGAAGGAACACTGACAAGATAAAAACAAGTCTCTCTCTCTCACACTCACACACTCACACACACACACACCCTTATTAGGAACACCTACACTAAACTGATAGTTTAAAAACACACACACACAAAGCTTTATGTATTTATTTATTTATTTATGTCATCCATTGTAACTGATGGCCAATTTAACTTTTGGTTTGTAATTAGTTTCTAGAAGAGTTGGTCAAGTAGTGTAAGATAAGAAACTAATTTGAAAACAGAGCCCCTGATGCATGAAACATTTTGTGAATTAAAGTCACAAGATCAACTCACAATGTAATCATATTATTCATTAATAGTGAGTATTCAATATTCAAAGACTTTTGATCTTGTTTATTATTGATTATTAGCCAAACTTGTCCTGGAAGTTTCTTTCTTAGTTGCAGTTTGTCATTAAATATTCTTCTGAAAATGTTTCAACCATCCAACCAGGGAACAGAGATAATGTCATATGACTTACATGGCTGGCCACATAGCACTAAAATGAACTGTGGAAATAAACAGTTTTGCAAACAAGCTATAGGCCAAAAATTCCTTATACAAACTACTTGACAAATACTTACAATTACCAAATACATTAGAAAATGTCCTGTTTATGAATAACTGACTGAGGAAAAAGTATAAGTTTTTGAAAATATTTATAATGAGCAGTTGAACCAGTGCTCATTCCAGTTCTCATGTGCTGTTGTGATGCCACTGTTCAGGATTCAATGAGATCAGCATGTAAGCCAAGATTTTTTTAAAAAAAATAGGACTTGCAAGTTAGACTCCTACATACACATTTAAGCATGCATGTGGCCTGATTTTCAAAAGTACTGAGCCACCAGAAGTTTCTACGCAGGCCGATATATTCTTAGAAGCCACCTGTCAGCAAATGAGTGTTCAGCACTTTTTAAATCAAGCCATTTCTTACAGCATCTAAATATAGACTTAGACTAAGTCTATGCACCTATTTATGAAAAAAAAGCATGTCTAATTTTTGGGTTCTACATTTTAATTAAATTTTCAACAACAATAAAATATTTTTCAATAAATAGATTTGGGGCCTAAACTGTATTTTTCATGTGAACAATGCCCATTATGGTGATTGTTCAAGTAACTTGAGTTCCACACACAAATCAACTCAGTTAATTAATGTCTGTATTAGTGCCTGAGGCCCTGGTCTTGAAATGAGATGTGCGTTGGACATACCTCTGTGTCTGCCTGGAACTTCACTCTGAAACAATGCGGAGATCTGTCTGTCTGCATTCTGTTGTGTAATTAGGGCTAAAACAACCACAAAAATCAAAAGTTCTGTTTTGTAAAATGAACAAATAGAATTTAAAATAAATCTCCCCCTCTTTCTATTTGGCTAAACTCAATTATGACATTAAAGATAGAAATTATGTGCTTTATAGTCATTAGAACAACTAACAGTTGTCCTTTTATCTAGTGTTTGCCTATATTTCTATGCTAGTATGAAATATATTCTCCCCACCCACCCTTTCTTAACTAATGATAGCTAATTTGTGAGGACATCTAAATTAGACTGTTAAATGTCATAATATTAATTAGTTTTAATCAGAATCCCCTTCTGTTTTCTTGTTCTGTTTCATAGTTGTGGAACTGTTTACATTTTTTTCATTATATAGAGATATACGTTTGGTTTATTCAGGAAGAGAAAGGGAGAAATTATTTTTGACTGGAAATATTAGTTGACCAGGATCATTATAAATGACTTACCTCACTCATGATCTCTATTTGACCCATAGTAAACACCCTCTCTTGAGGTTACAGTTAATTCATTCTACATGCAAGAACCATTTTTAGCCTCTCCCCTGATCATGGTCTTCTAATTGGACCAAAATGAAGTGCTGTGTTTTTGTGGTAGAGATGCTGCCCATCTGGGATTGAGCTAACTTTCTGTATTCATGTAAATAGGAGATGTTTTACTTTTATAGCAGAGCCTCTGCTGAGGTGTATGCATTAAAACATTTAGTTATTTTTAATTTCTCTGCAGTGAGATTGTACTTAAGATGTAGGAGAGTATTAAAACTCATATATTTCACACTTGCACAGAAATATTAGAGAAACTAGAATAAAGGTCTGCATATTAATTGTTCTAAGCAGCTGAGGTATCTAAAGCTAATCATTTTCGCCTTTACTTACATAATTTGATCCAACAATAGGATTTTGTTTTAAACTCTTTATTATACAAAGCAGAAATTCTGTTTTTTTTTCTCCATCTTGGACAATAACACCCAAGTTAACCTTCTTTATTTTATGCAAAATAGATGGATAGTGCTTTAAAGGATTAGAAAGATTACTTTAAAAAAGGACATATTATATCCCTTATCTTTCCATTTTTTCTCACTGCATCTGCAATCTGTAGTTATATAGAGATCACAATTTAATTATTTTCTATGATAAATTATGAATAAAATTGTCAGTCAGGTTATTAACACCTTCACCAAGCATTGAAAGTGCACATATTGTCTTCTGTTAATCTGATAGTTGCTCTAATTATGTTTACTATCTTTATTTTATCTTGCCAAAATATATTTCAAATGTGGGAGGGTATTTTTTTTAATCTATGCATCCTTAAGAAGAGGAAGTACACCCAAGTGGCTAGGGCACTATCCCTCGTCGACTGCCTGTGCCTCAGTTCGCCCTCTGCAAAATGGGGATCATAGTACTTCCTGAGCACTCCGGAGTCTAGAATGCGATGGTGATGCTCTCAGATACTCTTATAATAAGGGGCACACAAGTAACTAGGAAAGATATCCAAGGTATAGATTCTCTCTAGTGTGTCTGACCCATTAAACAGCAATGTGGAAATACATGTATTTATTTTCTTTGTCTTTCAGAAAAATGTGATGAACCACTGCTCTCAGCATTATCCCACTCCTCCTTCAGCAGTTCATCATCTATGGCTAGTAGCTATGCACCAGGGTATGCAAAGCTGAATAAAAGAGGAGGTAAGAGATCTCTCCTTCCCAACATTCATATACCTGCAGCAAACTCTATCTATTTCATGTAAAATAAATGTTAATTATTTATTTTAAACCAAATCTCAACTTTGATGCACAGCAATACTGTATTGGTGTTGACCCTAATGATTGTTTAGTAGTCTGGTGAAATGTTTTCTGTAAAATGTCGTACTAAAATGTTGTGGGTACTTGGGAAAGAGATTGGAAAATTAATATCAAAACTGTTCCCTCCAAAAGAAATTGTGGAAGGAGTATAGTGAGGTTGACCTTGTGGAATTCACAACTAAAAGGGGATTTGAGGTTGAGATGGGGAAAGGATTCCGACCTCTCAAATCTGTGGATCCTGAGAATCTGCAAGGATGGGATCCCCAGTCCAGTAGAAGTTTTGGCCTCTGTACTGCTTTCCCTATGGGAAACATATGTCTCTTCCTAGATAGCCCAATCAGCAGGGGTCTCATTTGCTAGTTGGGAAAGTGGGCAGTTGCCACCTCTCCCCCCACCGTGGACATTTCATCAGTCTCTGTGCTCCATTATGTCTTCTGCTCCACCCCCATCGACTTTGGAAGATATAATATCACATATAACATTCTCTATGCAGATACAACTTGATAATAATATAATTAATTAATTATTAATTAAATAATATAATTCCTCTTGAATTATTCTGAAATGACATTGTCATAAATATAAAGGGAAGGGTAAACACCTTTAAATCCCTCCTGGCCAGAGGAAAAATCCTTTCACCTGTAAAGGATTAAGAAGCTAGGATAACCTCGCTGGCACCAGACCAAAATGACCAATGAGGAGACAAGATACTTTCAAAGCTGGGGGGGCGGGGAAACAAAGGTTCTCTCTGTCTGTGTGATGCTTTTGCCGGGAACAGAAAAGGAATGGAGTCTTAGAATTTAGTAATCTAGCTAGATATGTGTTAGATTATAATTTCTTTAAATGGCTGATAAAATAAGCTGTGCTGAATGGAATGTATATTCCTGTTTTTGTGTCTTTTTGTAACTTAAAGTTTTGCCTAGAGGGATTCTCTATGTTTTGAGTCTGATTACCCTGTAAGGTATTTACCATCCTGATTTTACAGAGGTGATTCTTTTACTTTTTTTCTTCAATTAAAATTCTTCTTTTAAGAACCTGATTGCTTTTTCGTTGTTCTTAAGATCCAAGGGTTTGGGTCTGTGTTCACCTATGCAAATTGGTGAGGATTTTTATCAAGCCTTCCCCAGGAAAGGGGGTGCAGGGTTTGGGGGGAAAGACGTTTCCAAGCGGGCTCTTTCCCGGTTATATATCTGTAAGATGCTTGGTGGTGGCAGCAATAAAGTCCAAGGGCAAAAGGTAAAATAGTTTGTACCTTGGGGAAGTTTTAACCTAAGCTGGTAAAAATAAGCTTAGGGGATTTTCCTGAAGGTCCCCACATCTGTACCCTAGAGTTCAGAGTGGGGAAGGAACTTTGAAAGACGCCCTTGCCAATTAGCATTTTAAAAAAACCCAAATACTCCCAACACCCTCTCAATGGAGATTGCAGGCATAAAACCTGAAGTAAATTAATGCTGTTTCAGGTAGAATGGTCTCACATGCCTTCAAAAGAGAGAATTCTATGTACAGAAGATCCTTCCCCTTCTTGGCCTCAACTATGGTCCCTGGAGGTCCACTGAGTCTTATCCTTGTGCAGCAATTATAGAGGGATTTCACCCAGACTAAAAGAAGAGAGAGTCAAAATCAGAGGGACAGACCTCCCCTCACCTTTCAATCCCCCAAGCCAGGATCTCCCTGATCATGGAACAACCAGATCATTACCTCAGCTTACCCTGCTGTGACATTTTGGGAATCACCCCATCCAATAAGGAATTCTGTCACTATCTGCCTTGAAACTTTGCATTCCTTAATGCTATGCTACCATGGCTCAGAACTCTGGTACCAACAGCCAACCGACAAGCGTAAGGCCTCACCCTGGCTTCCACGAGCCTAGTTACTCCTTAAAAGGTGACCTCAGCAACCCTTTCTGGTCATGAGTCTCCCCAAATTCATCTCCCCGAGTTCTTAACTAACAGACACTCAGACTTTTCCCCGCTGATTCATCACCCCTCAAGTGTGAAATCCACTCTCAATTATTAGTTCACTTTGGGACACACTTAGTTTGCACACTAGAGACCCGCTTGGAGTAAAAATAAACAAAATGTTTAATTAATAGAAAACTTAGAAATGGTAAGGAAAAGTAAATGCATACAAATTACACAGACAATAAACATAAAGAAGCAACCTCAGGTTTTACATGTCTCTATTAGCTTTTCTAATACAAGTTCGAATACAATATTGCCTCTGAACAGTTTCAAGAGATGTACTAGTCTAAGACTACCCCTGTTTGAAACTTCAGTTTGTACATATCCAATACCTAATTCTATACTCCTTTTCATGGGTGTATTGAAACAATTCCTGATTTACACAAGTGTCAATGACAGGAGGACTAACTCTCTTTCTGTTTCTGTTTCTATAGCTAAGGGAAAATAGCTCAGTTGTTATGTTGAATTATTTTATAACATCATGGAAGTAGAGATATCACTAATCAAATTAACTGTAAAGAAATATAGATATTTGTTACTTCATAGTACCATCACTGAGAAATGGGGCTCCCCAGGTGACTGCACTATCTAGAAGAAGAAATCTTCTCTTGCTGAGTCATTACATCGAAAGAGACAAAAACAAAAAAAGGCTTTAAAATAAGGAAACATGCACTTGAAAATGTTAAACTCCAACCCCATAAAAGTTGAACTCAACCCCTACTTTGTAGGGCTGAATTTTCAGTATTAAGGTGACTACTATCTTCAAAATATCTGTGCCAATGTGAAGTTTTCACCAGACAGCATGCAACTCTGTTTAATAGTGTGCCTTAAAATGTGCTGTAGTCCTGGCAAGTGGAATTAAGTCTGCCATTCACTCTAATAGCATCAGATTGAACCCTAAGATAACTAGATGTATGCTTAGGAACTTTTGTTTTTCTTAATACTCAGGGAAGTTTCATGCATAAGTGTTAGGGCTCTGCAAGGCTTGGTTCAGGAAGGGATTAGTGAACTGGTGCTTGCAGTTTTCTTCAGAGGGGATGTTATTAAACCCATCCCTCTAAATTTAGTTGGACATTTGAATCTGAAAACTCAAACCTCCAAGACATGGCCCTTCTCTGCACCTTTCAGGGTCTCCTAGAACCCAGCACACTCTAATATTACACCCTTCCCCCATTACTTACGTTATCTGTCTTTAGAAGAGGTAGGTAGAAGAAATTTGGGAATTGTTGAGGAGGACAGCTATTTTTGGAGGCAGGAAAGAATGTCAATTGGGAAAGAAATGTTTAACATTAGCTGTAGAAATAGTGCTCAGTAAATAGTGGATGTTTCAGTTTGCTAGCAATTCTAAAAAATCGTGGGGTGGCAGGATTATTTCAGGCTGAACTGGACATGAAATTTTTGAACGTTTTCAGTGAATCAAAAAGTTACTGAAAAGTCTTGGGTCTTGTGAAAAGTTTTGTTCAAGCTGAAATGAAATTTTCATTTCAATTTTGTGTATTGTTTGTTTTTATTTTTATATAATTAAAGGAAATTTCAAAACTAAAAGTAATTGTGAATTTAAAAAATGAAATTTTCAAAATGGGATTTATTTATGTGTTTTTTTATTTGTTAGGATTTTCTGATCACAACAATTTGGCGAAATCGACACAAACTGATGAAATGTTTAGGTGTTCCTGACACTTCATATTTTTGCTGAAAATTTTTTTTTTTAAATTTTGCACAGTTTTGTGTATAGAGGAATTGACTACTAGTCTTACGCAAACACAGCCTGAGTGTCATGAGTATAATGAAACTTTGGCCCCAGGCTCTTTTTGAGTAGGTCTGAGGTTTTGATGTGAAAAATTTGCACAACCTGCTGTATTAATTTAAATAGAATAAATGTACCCAAATAGTTAAAGGTGTTAACATCACCCTGTCATTGTCCAACATTAAAGAATTTTAAACAAGATTTGGATTTTGCTATACAGCAGTGGTCTCCAACCTTTTTACGCACAAGATCACTTTTTGAATTTAAAAGCAACCCAGAATCTACCCTGCCCCTTCTCTGAGGCCCTGCCCCTTCCCCTGCTCACTCCATCCCCCCCTCCCTCTGTCGCTTGCTCTCCCCCACCCTCACTCACTTTCACCGGGATGGGGCAGGGGGTTGGGGCTCGGGAGAGGGTGCGGGCTCTAGGCTGGAGCCGAGGGGTTCGGAGTGTGGGAGGGGGCTTCAGGCTGAGCCTGGGTCGGGGGTTTGGGGGCAGGAGAGGGCTTCCGGCTGAGGCAGAGTCTTGGGGTGCAGGAGGGGGTACAGGGTGCTAGCTCCAGGAAGGGAGTCAGGTCTGGGGCAGGGGGTTGCAGTGTGGGTGGGGATTCGTGTGCTGGAGGGGGTACGGGATGCAGGCTCCAGGAGGGGGTTCAAGCTTGGGGTTGGGATGCGGGCTCCCGCTGTGCGGCACTTACCTCGAGCGTCTCCTGTTAGGTGGCACAGCAAGGCTAAGGCAGGCTCCCTGCCTGCCCTGGCCCTGGTCCTGGCCCTGTGCAGCTCCCAGAAGCAGCCAGCATGTCCCTGCAGCCCGTGGGGGGGGCATGTGGCTCCGTGCACTGCTCATGCCTTGATGCACCATCCCCACAGCTCCCACTGGCCGCAGTTCCCCATTCCTGGCTGCTTGGAATAAAAAAGACATGCATAAAATGGGAGAGAAAAGAACAGCAAAGGGAGAAAATGTAACTTCTGTCTCTGGTGTTGATTCTTATTTGTGGCCTCACTGCACGATAAACACAGGCATAGCACATGGTCTTATTAACCACTCCAAGACCTGGCAAATTCATACCAGCAATACACTATTTGGGGCATTGCTTTTAAAGACCTCTTTAGTCACAGGCTCAGTGTAGCAAAACATGGCCAGCTAAGTCAGACTTTTATTAGACAGAAGGAAAAAG